AGCCAGGTTTTTCAATAGGGGCCATTGGTCAGTTGTCCCAAGCACCGATTAAGCTGGCCTGGAAAAGCGAGCAGCCAGTCTGGGTGGACCAATGGCCTATGAAAGAGGAACGGCTTGAACATTTAAGAGAGCTTGCAAGGGAACAGCTAGAAGCAGGACATATTGTGCCCACAACCAGCCCCTGGAATACTCCCTTGTTTTGTATTCCCAAGAAAAGTGGAAAGTGGAGAATGCTGCAGGACTAAAGGGCAGTAAACGCAGTCATAGAACCATTGCATTGCATTGCATTGCATGCATTGCATTGCATTGCAGCCTGGACTGCCCTCACCCGCTATGCTCCCAGCAAATTGGCCACTAGTGGTAATTGATTTAAAGGACTGTTTCTTTACCATCTTCCTACACCCTGAGGATGCACCAAGGTTTGCTTTCTTCATCCCGGCCCTGAACAATGCACAGCCCATGCAAAGGTATCACTGGGTTGTCCTTCCTCAGGGGATGAAAAATAGCCCTACAATATGTCAAACAGTAGTGGCAACTGCTATTCATCCCATCAGAAGGTGTTTTCCCTCTGCTGTCATCTATCATTATATGGATGATATCTTAATTACCATGGCCACAGAACGTGAACTGCAAATTGTTGTTACTGCTCTAAAAAATGCTGTCCAAGATGCAGGGTTACAGGTTGCTCCAGAGAAAATCCAGCGATCGCAACCCTGGACTTACCTTGGATGGAAAATCACGCAGCAGGAAATTTCTCCACAGCCACTGCAGCTCGAGGTAAAAAACACTTTAACTTTACACGAGTTGTGTGATAGTCAATAAAGACAAAAAGAGATAATTTGCTTATCAAATTATACTTGTAATACTGTAATTGTGAACTGTGATGTTATGTTATCATGAAAAATTATATTCTACTATATTACCTCTAGATGTTAGCTATCTATGTAGGAAAGTATTCTCCCTAGCAACTGTCAAGAAGACATAAAGCAGAAGGGCTCTAACAACCAAGACACCCTTGGCCGACACAATCTGATAAGAGGAAGGAGGCGGCCAGACTTGTTAAGAAAGAAGGCGCCAGGAGAGACTGATAAGGAAGACAAGAAACAGGGAAAAGATTCCCTGGTAACAAAGACAGAACATGCGCAGAATGAACTGGTAACTAGAAACCTGGGAGGGGATTTGGGGCTATAAAAAGAAAAATTGAAACTTATTGAATTTTGCGGAATATATGGGGAAGCAAAACCCCATCCGCCCAGCGCTGTTTGCCCATCTGCCTTAAATAAACTTTTGTAAAACTTTAAAAGAGTTTTGCTCTTGTTACTGATAACAAGTTGCAAAAACTTTTGGGAACCATCAACTGGTTAAGACCTATTCTAGGCATAACCACAGAGGAGCTACACCCTTTATTTGAGCTGCTAAAGGGGGACTCAGACCTAACGTCTAACAGGTCTCTGACAGCAGAGGCAAAGCAGGCGTTAGACATTTGTGCCAAGGCAATAGAGGGCAGACAAGGCAGAAGGAGAAATCCTGAACTGCAAATCTGCCTTGCCCTTGTTCCCAGCAGGTACCAGCCATTTGCAGTTTTGTTTCAGTGGGATCAGACTGAAAAAGACCCACTGCAAATTCTAGAGTGGCTGTTTCTGCCCCACACACCACCTAAAACTGTGTGGACTACTAATGAAATGTTTGCCAAACTTGTCATTAAAGGCAGAGGATGACTACAAGAACTGGATGGGAGAGATCCTGCCATCATCTACATCCCAGCTACAAAGGACAACTTCGATTGGATGCTAGCTGAGGACACAGGATTCCAGGCTGCCTTGGCAGGCTTTGACGGTGACATTTCAATTCGTCTCCCTAAACACAGATTGTGGGCAGAAATCGGTAGTTTACCTTTAAAAGCCACAACCAGATGCAAACATGAACCAGTGAAAGGCCTCACGGTTTTCACAGATGCATCTAGAAGAACGTGAAAAGCTGCAGAGACTTGGGTAAACCCTGACACAGAACAATGGGAAGGAGAGGTACAGACCATGAACCAAAGCTCTGTGCAAGTTCTGGAACTGGCTACCATTCGTATTGCCTTGGGGAAATTTTCTGAACAACCTATTAATATTGTAGCTGATTCCTGTTATGCTGCAGGGTTAGTGTCCCGTCTCGAGAGTTCATTTCTTCAAGATGTCTCTAACCCTTACCTGTTGTTTGAAATGCGTTCTGTTTGGTTTCTTGTCAATCATAGAAAGTTTGATGTCTATATAATGCACACAAGGTCACACACTGACATGCCAGGGCCAATAGCTGACGGGAACAGAGAGGCTGACAAAGCAGCAATGTTTAACACCGTACCTAGAGTCTTAGAGCAAGCGAAACTGTCTCATTCATTTTTCCATCAGAACGCACATTCTCTGAAGAGACAATTTCAAATAACACTCAATCAGGCTCGAGACATCATCATGTCATGCCCAGACTGTCAGAAAATCACACCCATGCCATCTCAGGAAGGCGTTAACCCCAGAGGGTTAATAGCAAATGTGATTTGGCAGACAGATATCACACACATCTCTGAATTTGGCACATTAAAATATGTACATGTAACAGTAGATACCCACTCACAATACATAACTGCCACAGCACACATGGGGGAAAAGGCCAAGGATGTGATAAGACACTGGCTCAGTTGTTTTGCTACCCTTGGTACCCCAAAACAGATTAAAACCGATAATGGACCAGCTTTCATCTCAGAAAAGGTAAGAAATTTCCTGTCAGACTGGGGAATTTCACATGTCACAGGTATTCCACACTCCCGCACCGGACAGGCAATCGTGGAAAGGGCACATCGCACACTGGAAGACATGTTAGCTAAACAAAAAAAGGGGGAATCAGTCTGTAGCCCGCAAGAGCATCTGTGGAAAGCCACGTATGTTATCAATTTTTTGAATTGTGACAGCGCTGAAAGAAGCAGGTACAAAAGGCAGCACAGGCCTCAGGTTTTCACCTCTCCCAAACCACCGGTCATGGTAAGAGATCTGATTTCAGGGCAGTGGATGGGACTGCTAGACCTCGTGACCTGGGGGAGAGGTTATGCCTGTGTGGCTGCAGGAAAAGAGCTGAAATGGATTCCTTCCAGGTGTGTTAGACCCTACCTAGGTAAGCAACCACAGCAGCAAGAACCAGAGTAACGCAGAAGTTATAAAAGAGTTATGTTTAAGTTTCAGGTTTACATTTAAGGACAACCAGTGTGGCAAAAAGCAGACTATAAAATATCCGTGAATGTGTGTATGATGAATGTATGACGGCTGTCAGTGAATGCATGTGTGAATGAATAAGAGAGTTGTTTGACTGGACAAGTGTATTAAACACAAAACACCTCACAAAAATAACACTACCTCCGCCACATGGTCGCTTTAAGAGAATTTAGTTTTGCAAAGCTTAGCCTGTTTCTTAAATAAAGTTGAACTCCCCAGTTATTTAAAACCCTCAGATTAATAAAGATTATAAGTATGCACGGTTGGGCTAAGACCCCTAGGTTAATAAAGTTATTTCTCCAAGTTGCACTACCCTTTAGGAATATAAGAAAGTTTTAAAAGGTCTACAATAGATGTATAAGAGGCCAAAGCAAGCGATGTGCTGGGTCATTGCAAGCTTTGGTAGTTTACAATGTACTGTTCTGATTGTTTGCACTGTTGTTTTTGCACTGTTTTCGTGACCATAAATAATTGAGAAGGGGGTAATGTAGGAGGTGTGTCCAAAGGTACAGGGGACGTACCGGGGCAGAGAAGCCCAAGGGGACATGCGCAGGGACAGATAACCCCATTGGTTAGAAGGTCACGTGGTTTTAGGGGATAAAAGGAGGCGCCGAATTTGAAATAAACCTCTTTGATTTCCACCTCACAAAGAGTGTACAGCATTCTTTATCGTATAAAGACCAGCACCCTACATCTCCCAGCTCTTATCTCAACTCATGAATCCTTAGCTGTTTTTTTCTCTCTCCTCTGTCCAGTTGCAGAGGGAGAGTGAGAGAGTGGCTTTAGTGGGTACCTGGCATCTGGCCAGGGTCAACCCACTACAGTTGTCTTTCAGGTGTTTTTCAATACTTTCCAGAATAATCTTCTCTAGAACTTTTCCAGGCACTGAAGTGAGACTGACAGGCCTGTAGTTTCCAGGGTCCTCCTTCTTGCCCTTCTTGAAAATCGGGACAACATTCACCAACTTCCAGTCAGGTGGGACCTCTCCGGATTCCCAAGACCACTCAGAAATCATCGAGAGAGGTTTTGCGATGACATCAGCCAGGTCTTTGAGGATTCTTGAATGAATCCCATCAGGCCCCATAGATTTGTAGGGATTCAGCTGGAGTAGCAGTTCCCACACAATTTCAGGGTCAACTGGGAGTTGATCATTCTAGTAGCCATGGTCCTCCAGCTCAGGGCACTGAGACCCCCTTGGTCCATCATCCGTGTTGAAGACAGAGGCAAAGAAAGCATTAAACACCTCTGCCTTGTCTCTGTCCCTGTTTGTGAGGTGACCATCCACATCCTGTAACTGGCCGATGATATTTCTATACTGCCTACTGCCATTAATATATTTGAAAAAACTTTTTACTCTCCCCCAAATTTCTGCCCAGCTTCAACTCCACTTGAGCTTTGGTCGCACGAACTTTCTCCCTACAGCGGCAAGCAGCATCTCTGAATTCTTCCTATGTCACTTGTCCTTGCTTCCACTGGGCATACACCTTCCTTTTTTGCCTTATTTCCAAGAGAAGATTCCTGTTCAACCAAACTGGCCTTCTGCCTCACCTGCTTGATTTCCAACATTTGGGAATTGCCTGCTTCGGTGCCCTTAGGAGGTGATGTTTGAAAAGTGACCAGCACTGATGGACCCCAGCACCTGCAAAAACATTTTCCCAGGGGACATTACTGACTGATTCCCTGAGCAGCCTGAAGTCCGCTCTCCTCATGTCCAGAGATGAGGTTTTGCTGGTGCTTTTCCTCCTGTCAACAGAGATTTTAAACTCTTTGTGGTCACTGTGGCCAAGACGGCCACCAATTTCCACTTTGCTCACGAGATCCACTCTGTTGACAAGCAGCAGATCAAGGAAGGCATCTTTCCAAGTCAGCTCCCTTAGGACCTTGTGCTGGTTTAAAAGTTAACCAGCAGAGGAAATGAACTCAACTCAAAAGAGAGATTATAAGTCAGAATAACAATTTATTAAAATAATACAATAAGTACAATTATACAGACAGACAAGTGGTTTTAACCCACAAAACCCAAATGTATAACCCAGCACCCTGGGGCATGAACAAAAGTGGTGTTCCTTGGCCCCCCCCCGAGTCCAAAGTAAAGGGAGAGGGGAAAAACCTGCTGGTGGGAGAGCTGCTGCAGTCTGGTCAGAAAGTGGTGATTGCAGTCCAGTTGAGGGTGGTGGTCTCAGTCTTGTTGAGAGCGGTGAGCTGCAGTCTGGTTGAGAGCGGTGGTCTGCAGTCTTCCTCTGGATCCCACGAGTGGTGGAAAGGTTCAGAAACTCCCAGTTTATATATTCTCCAGTTCAGGCGGGAGTGCTCAGTCCCTCCCTCAAAGCGGGGAATTCCATAAAAGGGTATGAGGACAGGAACATCTTCCTACCTTGCAGGCCTCTACTGATAACAGTTTCTGGGAAATGGCATGGAAGGCTATAGAATACACAGTTTTGGGTTACACCCATCCAGTGATGAATTGGTCCCAGCCGTTCTAACTAGGACAGACCTGTTCCATGAAGGTGTCACATGGGGGAAAATCGAGGGCGTCGGAGGGGGCTGTGATTGGAAGTGGCTCCCCCCCTTTCGGAATCGCGGAAGGGGAAACCACAAAAGCCCTGCAGGTGGGGCCTCAACCCTAGTAATGGAGGAGAACCCCTTTCGTTCCCCAGTCATTGCCGAGATAGCAGCAGAGGGAGGGGGGTGGGGAAACCGCTCTTGGTAACCTGAGTAGCAACCATGTCAGTGCTCGCTGCAGCTACCCCCCTTTTTGGAACAGAAGCAGTGGTGGCTGTACCAGTTGTGACCACGCCGCTTGCAGCGGCGGAAAAGTCCAGCGTGGCGCTGCCTGCAACAGCCAAAGTGCCCACAATGGCAGTGCTGGCAGGAGCGGCTTCCACCTCCGACAGTCCAGTGGCCGCGGTAGCACCTGGAGGCCTTCTCCCTCGCATATTCGGAGAGACCAGCCACCTGAGCCTCTGACATAGGTCTGACTAGTGGGACACCTTTCACAATGCCTCCTTTTACCTCCTTGTATTATCAACAACTCTATCTCCATAGGAACTTTCTCTTATGACCTCCACTCCTTTTCCCACTCTCGGTGATGATACCACTGCCATAATAAAAATGTAGGAGGTCCCAATGGAATGTCTTCTATCGATTCAACACAACCCATGATAACAACTATTAGGCAGGAAAAAAATGGCAGAGAAAAATTTCACTGGGTCTGGGTTTTGAACCCAGGCCCTTTTGGTTACTAAACTAAGACCTTGTGCCACCACGACTTCAAGCAAGGGCAACCTCTACAGGAGAGGTCTTTAAGAGAGAGCATCCTCTTTCTCTTTCGGCCATACCATGCCAATCAAAAAAAACCCCTAGCACATCCAGGGGGTGGTGCAGCCTGTGGCTGTTGCACCTCCCTCGCCTTACAGAAGTCTTGGGAGGATGGGTCAGTTAACCTGCACCCGCCCAGGTAAAACGCCAAGTAGAGAACTCCATGAAACAGACCCTACGCTGGCTGGCCAAGCCACTTCTGGGTCCCGTTTTCGCCCACGGACTGGAGAAAAACAACCGACTTTCACAACACCAAGGGATCCTGTAATAGGGTGAGTTCGAAGGATGCCGAGACTGAAACCAAACACTGTTGAAAGCTCAACAAAAACCAATATTTATTACAAAGAAGTGACCAAGTAAATGGGAACCCGAGAGAAAGAGAAACAATGAGGGAATACAACACCCTACTCACTCAAGTGTTGCTTATGAGGTTATCTTACCAACTCCAAATGCCAAAAATCCTCTGTAGCAGCTGCGTTCTCGGAGGGTCCGCAGGCTCACACGTAGTGGGCATCCCGGCAAAAGACAACGTGGTCCTTCGTGTGAAGTGAGCGAGCCCAAAATGAGCTATCTGCTTTTTATACCATTAATTGGTGATGTCTACCTGGGCAGGTGTGGCCAGCACCGCCCAGCTAGAGGCCTTCAGTCCCTCCCTCTGTTATGCAAGTGGCATCCCTTCTGCGCATGCGTGGGTACCTTGGAATTCCCCTTGAGCATGCACATTATACCTCAGGGGTCTTTTCTAATTGAGTCTAGGGGTTTACTTCATCTTTCTCCTCTTCAGTTTCTCCTTCAAGTGCCCTTGAAAGGCGATTAGCCAATCATAAGACAGCAATTAAATATAGCTTATATAAGATGCTTCCTTCAAGGACTAAGTTCTCGTTTATCAGTGCTTGTTTTCTCATAACTTGGCAGGAAAAAGATAAACTCTCACAGGTGGCTGGGCCAAACACAGACCAAAAGTATTAATGTCTAATTAAGCCCTGATACAGATCCCCAAGAAAGTCACATCCCAGTCCTAACCAAGTACTCCCCATTTCTGGAAAAAAACACTTTACAGTTGCTAGCAAAATTAACCAAAAAGAGCAGCTCTTTAGCTTACCTCTGTGGGTGGTTCTGAGGAGCTGGGCTTCTCAGGATCGGTGTGTGGGGAATTCGCCAAAATATGCCAGCAGAAGAAGAATTTCTCACAGGATTAAATTTCCCAATCTGGAGGAGTCACAGGTCTCAGGTTTCCACCTTTTGGGCACCAAAACTGATGCCTTAAGATCAGTCGGGAGCCAAAAAATTACTCACCAGGCAATTATTAGTAGAGATAAGTTATAGAGCAGTTTTTTTAATGAAGGCCTTCAATCACAGGGAGTACTGAGACGTGTGCCTGCCATGTGTCCAGGGGTTCCACAATTTAAGGTACTGTCCATCCAATCCCAGATTTATCCGCCCCCCAGATCCTCCCCAGTTCTGCTCCTGGCACATCCCTCTGGAAATTGAGTCAGAGGTCTCTAAGACCCCCTCTTTCTCATCTTCCTCTTTGTCACAGCATATACAGTCTTTTGGAGCTCCTCCAAGGTTAAGGATTTGAAGGTTGCTTTGACTATGGTGTATCTTGTTGTAGAGGCCTGGGGTGCAATGTTCTTAAACAGAATGAAGGCCTACCTTGAGAGAAGTCTAAACAAGCTAAGGAATTTAGAAAGTTCTATATGAAATGGGGAAAAGGGTTTGGATAAGTGGAAACTACTGTGCTAAAGTGTAAGGGATTATACAGCTACATTAAAATCTACATTTACTACACAACTACTTCTAAAATCTACAAAAAATTAAAAATCAAAAAAATCCATAGGCATCACTGGGATTGCAATTGTGACCAGACTTATAGTGCTGAATTGGTTACTCTAAAATATTTGTGAAGGTCTTCCAGAGACTTGGACAGACAGATAATATACGAAGAAGGGGAAGATCTGCCCTTGGGCCCATTATATCTGCTGATAACCCATGACAACAGGGAGAGAGGAAAGCAGGCAGAGAGAGAGGCAGGCTGGCAGACAGGGACAGGCAGAGAGAGACGCATGCAGGGAGAAAGAGAGGCAGGGAGGCAGAGAAAGAGAGGCAGGCAAAGGGAAGGGGGAGAGAAAGGCTGGAAGAGAGAGGGAAAGAGGGAGAGAGAGAAAATAAAAGAGCCAGGCAGAGAGAAAGAAAGACACATAGAGGCAGGCAGAGAGGGAGAAAGAGAAGGTCAAGAAAAGATAAAGAGGGGGAAAGTGCCACAGGAGGAAAGAGGGAGAGGAGCATGTAGAGACAAAGACAGAGGGGCAAGTCTGGAGACTGAGGCAGAGAGAGGAAGGTGAAAGGGGGGGCGGTGGGACAGAGAGAGATATGCACGCAGTGGGAGACAGACAGAGTGACAGTCTGGGAGAGAGAGTTGCTGTGGTGGGTCAACCTTGGCTGGCCACCAGGTGTCCACCAAGCCACTCTATAACTCCCCCTCCATCAACAGGACAGGGGGAGAAAATAGGATGAAAAGCTCGTGGGTACAAATAAAGATGGAGATCATTTGCTAATTATAATCACAGGCCAAACAGACTCAACTTGGGGAAATTTAATTTAATTTATTCCAAATTAAACAGAGCAGGACAAGGAGAAATAAGAATAAATCTAAAAGTACCTTCTCCCCACTCCTCCCTTCTTCCCAGGCTTAGCTTCACTCCTGAGTGTTCTACACCTCCCCCCAAGTGGCACAAGGTGATGGGGAATGAGGGTTGTGGTCAGTACATAACGTTTTGTCTCTGCGGCTCCTTCCTCCTCATTCTCTTCCCCTGCTCCAGTGTGGGGTCCCTCCCACAGGATGCAGTCCTTCATGACTACCCAGGAAATTGGTGGAGTTACCACCCCTGGAGGTGTTCAAAAGACCTGTGGATGTGGCACTTGGGGGCATGTTTTAGTGGTGAACGCGGTGGTGTTAGGTTAACGGTTGGACTCAATGATCTTAGAGGTCTTTTCCAACCTTAATGATTCTATGAACTTCTCCAATGTGGGTCCTTGCCCCGGGCTGCAGTTCTTCACAAGCTGCTCCAGCATGAGTCCTTTCTATGGGGTACAGTCCTTCAGGAACACCTGCTGCAGCATGGATCCCCCACAGGGTCACACGTAGACATGGTGCTTAGGGATGTGGTTTAGTTGTGGGATTGGTAGTGTCAGGTTAGCAGTTGAATTCTACAATCTTGGAGGTCTTTTCCAACCTAAATGATTCTATGATTCTATATCTATTATTCTTTTTGCTGTACTCCCAAAGCCATTTTGCCTCTCATGTCACTAACAATTGGACTGGCTGACCCTGGGTTGTCCTGTCCAGCCACCTCTTTGTTACAAGCAGGATGGCATGCATTTGTCTAACAAGGGATTTACATTTCCACTAGATATATTATTGGCAGAGTCAAGTTATGTTTGTTCCTCTATAATTCAATGATTTCCTCTGCACTACTCGGGTCTACTACTTGGCTCCATCAGGTTTAAATCTCTGTAAGATGAGTCTCTTTCTTTGCAACTGTGTGT